CATTTCGGACAAATGGCTGTCCAGTCTCTTCTTAAAAACCTCCAGTGTTGGAGCATTCACCGCTTCTGGAGGCAGGTTGTTCCACTGGTTAATTGTTCTAACTGTCAGGAAGTTTCTCCTTAGTTCTAGGTTGCTTCTCTCCTTGCTTAGTTTCCACCCGTTGCTTCTTGTCCTGCCTTCAGGCGCCTTGGAAAATAGTGACAAGTGACATTATGATACCATCAAAAAGATGGTTATGATTTTTGAGGGGAAAAGGGAAGACAAAGAGTTTTCTTTCTCACTCTTAAAACCTGCTAACTAGACCTGAAACTGCACCACCAAAATCCTGTTTTGCTCTTGAATTTTTGCATTAATCAGCAGATTCTAAGGAAAGAAATATGGAGGGACAATTTTTCATAGATCAATTTTTATTTAGCTGGCTGCTAAATGAGTGTTTAGCATTGATATGTATTCAATGAGACTACAAAGCTCCTTCACAAAATTAAACTAATTGAGATTTGAAATGCAATATTTTTAATGCCAATTCCATAAAATTCTGTTTTTCACATATTTTCAAGCATGAGCACTATGGTTTTTGTATAAACGACAATTCTATTGCAAAAAAGGCAAGGGTTATTTGATTTTTTATAGTGATTAATCCTATTTTAAAAAACCAAAAAACCATTGCTTTAAATAATTAACTGAACACTTGTTCAATGCTGAAATCAGTGGTTTCACCAATTGCTTAAAGGCAACTAAGGTATCAGCTTACTGAAGCTGTAATAAATACATAAACATTCAGAAGCAAGAGTTACCTAGATTTTGCAAATTCTATGTTCTATTTCAAAAGTGAGCAACTCAGTGTTCTTGAGTTTTACTGGATATCAGTTTCTGTCAACCTTGCCAATGACATTAAATTATAGGAACTGTTGTCTAGAATTTTTAGAAAGCATCTGTCTGCCTACTCCTGTCTGCTGTATGTCCTTTGGAAAAGTTGAGAAATACTAAATAAATGATATTTAAAAGCTGTTTTAATTCTAGGAATTAAAAGTATTTCAACAATTTGCTTTCAAGATAACTGATTGGGTATCAGGAAATGCACTAAACTATTAAGGATACTTGGGATACTTTTTAGTTTTAGATTCACATTCCTACCACAGAGCAGCAAATTAGAGGAAACTAAATCAACAGCAGTTGTGAGTAAATTTATTCTCTTTAGATCAGTTAAATAAAAGGTTCTCAAACTATGGGTTGTGAGGAAGTGGGAGGACTTCGCAAAGCAGGACTGCTGCTCAAACTTTTTCTGAAACTGCCTGAACACACCATTAACTGACCTGACTGTTCTAGGACAGGTCTGGACAGGTCTCCTTTTATATGTACCAATAAGACCTCATGTTGGCAAGAGAAAATGCTGCTGATGTGGCAAGATATTGAGCGAGTGTCATTTAGTTTTAATCCTATTTGTTTTGCATACTTTTCACGTGTATTATATTTCTATGACCTATCTTATACTTTTTTACTTGCTCAGGGTTGTAAGGGCTTTTCAACCAGTGGTACGGGTACCACCTGTGGTACATTGGCACCTGGCAGGTGGTATGCAAACATCCTAGAAAAGTGGTAGCGGGGGAGGGAAATGAGCTGAACCGGTGGCAGCACCGCACAAGCCTAAGCGAGAGATGGCTGGAGCTACAGGGCTGTCAGGGCTCAGCAGAAGCACTAGGATCAGCACCAGGCTCTAGCTGGAGCTCGGCGCTGATCCTGATGCTTCTGCTGAGCCCAGATGAAGCGTCGATCAGCTGGAATGTTGCAGCATCTCCAGGGTCTTGTGATTTACATTCAGATGCTTGGCAACTGATTCATATTTATGACGGTCATAGTGTCCCAGGGTCATGTGAAGTGACCAAAATCTGCTGCAACCACCCAGTAGATGGGGGGAATAAAAACCAAACACCCCCTCACCCCACCCCCACTGCCAATCCTCAACAGAAATGCTCACAACAATGAAAACCTTAGACAGGAGGAAGAGCGCCACTGGGTGAACAAGCAGGTGTCTTGCTTGGCTGTGGCTTGGGGGGCACTTTTTCAGTGCCACTGTAACTTCGAACAGTCACTAAGCGAACTGTTGTAAGTCGAAGACTACCTGTACTTTATCACTTTTTTCCTTTTTTTTTTTTGGTCATCAAGTTTTTGACACCTTGCTAGGCGACTGGTGGTACTCGGATACTGCCATATCCTAAAAGTGGTACAATGGGTGAAAAGGTTGAAAAGTCCTGTTGTAAGTTATATGTCTATAGTTTGAAAGTGCTTCTGGTGCAAATAAAGGATTGGACAAGCCAGCTACCCTGGCGGACTGGAAATGTAGTTTGGCATGTGTAAATCATGTTTGAATATCCAAAATGTAATTATTAAAATTCACTGATATATTTATTTCTTGCCCAACTTTTATCCTAATGAAATAATACATTTTTACTCAAAAGTGGAGAGGAGTCACATAGTTCATTTTAGTTTGGATGTCCAATTTTGTCTTTAGTAATATTTAGAAAAAAGAAAAAAATGAAACAGAAAAAGTATATAAAATAGAATTGGGTTAATAACAACTCATTATTTTAGAGGGTAAATGTTATCACAAATTTGAAAAAAAGAATTTATTACTTTAATTGTAGCTTCAATAGGGCCATAGCACAATTTCATAGAAATACCTGTATCACCAAATGATATGCTTTCATATGGTCCTTAAACGTAGTGTTCAAAATGTTGTTACATTGTTTATTAAAAGCAATTATTTTGATATATGTATTTTTGAATTAAATACCAATTATTTGTAGCATAAGAACAATGTTAATAAATCACTTTGGATAGATTTCACAGATTTCACAGGATTAATGTAGGACTAGATGAGTAGTGACCTTCTTCATCCCTTGTTTTTGTACAGTTTTATCATTTGGGGAGTGAGAAATACAGCTGTTTGATCATTTAATCAGCATAACTATAACAATACCAAATGGAATAAAATTATTCTTAACCCTTTATATAATAATCCCTTTCAAATATAGACCTTACATTTTAAAAATTCTAAATGCAAAGAAATAATATTTGGAAGAAAAAACACAAAACATGTCTTCAAATATATATCACTGACCTAACATGAGTTTTCTGTCTTTAGAAGATAGTATCATAATTCACATCATCCCTAATCACCTTTGATTCGTAAAAGTTGTTCAACACATGTAAAGGATGTCAGTTGGGGAAAGCTCTATTATTTGAAACAAAGTACTTCTAAGAAGAGATCATATATTTGTTCTAGATTCATACCAATATTTATTTTTTAAACCCATTCCATGAATAATTTCTGAATTGACGCTGATTTAAGTTTTCATTGATGGGATGCTGCAAGACCGTCTCATAACCAATCTCACTTCAATATCAGGCAGACTTTTCTGTTTCATATGTAAACAATCTTCATCTGTAGCTGCCAGGTGAAGATCAAAGCGCAAAGAAACAGACTTTTTTCTTAAGTGAGGGTTATCCTTGAAGAAAGAGCCTTCCCACTCTTTAATCACTTCATCTACTTTTTCTGTCCTGAAACAATAAATAGATTATTATGTATAGGTATTCATGCAAAACATGTCCTCAGGCTAGGATTTCAAGACATGTTTATACTCAGAAATATGTTTATTTTGGTGAAACAAAGAGGCTGTATGAACATCTGTTCTATATTTATCTATCCCTCCATTTATCTCTATTTCTAACGAACAGGCTTGAAAGATTTCTGCTTTTGTTTGCTATGAAAGACATGTATTACCAGGCAATAGTGTTGCAACATATAATTTTTCTATTGTTTTCCTTAATAAGAGATATAGTCTAGAAAGGCAGTCCTTAACTTAACAGCATTCATTTAGTGTCAATCTAAATTACAACAACACTGAAAAAAGTGATTTATGACCTGTTCTCACACTTATAACAATTACAGCATCCCCACAGTCATTTGATCCAAATTTGGGCATTTGGCAATGGACATATATTTACAATGGCTGCGGCATCCTGGGGTCATGTGATCGCATTTACAATCTTTCCAGCCAGCTTCTGTCAAGCAATAGGAGAAACTACATTTGCATGGCAAAATGATCATAAAATGGGTGCAAGTCACTTAATGACTCCCTGCTTAGCAGTGGAAATTATGGTCTCAGTTATGATCTTCAGTTGAGGAGTCCATGAATACTAGGCTACACCTACTTTGGGCATATTTTTATGAATTAGATATTATAACTACACATACATACATATATTTAACTTACTGTATTGTACTATGAGTGTCTGTGCTATCCTTTGCAATACCTCCATTTAAGACTGCTTGCTTTGACAGTATTTCCACTTTTTCAATTTCATGTTTTTTTAGCTTGCTTGCTATATAGATAAAAAAAAATTCAAAATATATTAAAATATACAGTTTTATAAGATGCAGAAGAAATATTCTGTATTTCAGAATGTGTACCAGGTTTATTTTCAGTATCTTTTAAATCATTTATATCAGGAAACCACACTTTTGAACATAAATCTATCCCACAAGTGCCATGTATGCAATTTAGTTACTAAGCCTTTATGTTAATATGACTTGTCTACTCTGATTGCAATTTTGTAACTGTAGTGTTTTATAAGGGAGCATGATTGCTCAGCAGTTAAATATGCTGAGCTTGTCAACCAGAAAGCAGACAGCTCGGGTTTGAGACCTGAGCGCCATACAACTGGGTGAGCTCCCGTTGCTGCCCCAGCTCCTGCCCACTTAGCAGTTTGAAAGCATGCAAATGCGAGTAGATAAATAGGTACCACTTTGGTGGGAAAATACTAGGGTTCCGTCGGCCTTTGGCATATAGCCATGCTGGCCACATGACCATGGAAAATGTCTTCAGACAACACTGGCTTCCTCAGCCATGAAATTTAGATGAGTACCATGGACATGACTGGGCAAGGAAACCTTTACCAAGCATTGTTAATGTTGGGTTATGCTCTATCTCACTCTTTCTCTTCCCAATTCTATTTCTAGTGGTACATTCCTCTTCTCCAATATGATAAACCCATTTATGGTGGTATGCATACATATTTATTAAGCACAAAGGTTTTTCATTTTTTCTTCATTAACAAAGTGATTATTGCCTGCTTGAAGAAATTTAACATTGACGAGAGAAACAGTCTACGCTAGCTCTTTTTCTAGTTTCATTTCTCTACTGTTAAGAAGATTCTGTCTAACATTAAAAAAGCAGAATCTCTTACAGCTTGAAATGACTTGGCCAACTCTGATATTACAAAATATCCTTTGTGTGTAGAAATCCTATTGGAGGCAATATTTCCAGTTGAATTTAAATGAATGAGTCCCATTTTAAGTCAAATTTGTATAAAATAGTGGATTCATTCATTTTCTAGTGTTAAGTAAACTCACATGAAGGTAAAATAAATGCTATTCGGCTGGTAGTAGGTTTTCTGACATCTTTTGTTTCTTCGTGTTTTGAATAATGAAACCTGGAAAGAGAGGAAAAAGATACAGAGTAAAATAGGAGTGTTATGTCTTCTGAGTACAATCTTGAATTCTGTGGGTTGTGCTAGAGTGCCTATTAATGCTCAGTGTTCTTGTTGACTGTATAATACAATTTGCTTTTATTCAGGACAATGTCTGCATCCAGGCATTATCAATACCAGGTTTTATTGGATTCTTTTCTAAGTATACTGTAGGTTTTGGGATGCTGTTGAGATACTCTCAACAGTCTACAAGTTGTTAGGGTTAGGGTTATTCACATGTATTACATTGAGTATAGATATCAGAGGGAAAAAATTGGGCAGAGAACGAGACTGGCAGAAAGACAGAGAAGGAAAAAGATGATATATACCTCTAATTTCAGATCTGTCCATCATTGAGTATACCCTCCAGTTGACTTCCTATGGGGTTATGGCCCTACATAGAAAATTAGTTCCTCATCCCTGCAAAGGCACAGTTCAGACATAATCTTTCTTATTGAAGCATTCATGTTGAAGTTTATGGGTAGTTTAATTAGCCATAGTTTCCTATTGTTTGAATTGGGAATCTAGTATCAGCACCTGATAACAGCTTTCTGGTTCTTCTGTTATGACATGCCAAGGAAAGAACTAATTCTCTAGACACAAAACTCAACATAATTGTATAATACGCTGTAATATGTTACCTCTGAACTTGATCAATTGATGGTTTCATAGTTTCAGTAAACTATGTTTGATATGAGAATGTACTTCCATGAATCTATTTCTTGAATCTACTTTTGTCCATGAATAAGAGATGATCCTAAACTTCCACTTTGATTGAATTGTATTACAACTGTATTACAAGAGACATTCTTGGTTTTTGTTTTATGACAATTTTTTAAGTTCCAAAGCAATGAGCAATGGCTATGGTTAGTACAAAGTTGAAAGTGACCGCTTTTTAAACTCTTCATTCAGTGGAAAAGGGGGTGGATGGGAAATGCATGAACTTGGAACATTTAACCCCCCTTTCCTGAGGTGAGTTCTGCACCCACCCTCCTGACTTTCCATAAGGATCTGAAGACCTGGCTCTGCCAGTTGGCCTGGGATCCCAGTGGGGTGCACCACTATTGGATTAAGAGAAGACCCCACCTGTTCCTTCTCACCCCCATCTTTCAGTTGTAAATTATCATTATGTTACTTATTGTTTGTTTTAATGTTTACCAGTTTTTAATGCTTATATGTTGCCCAGGGTCACCTCTAAGACAAGATAGGCAACCCACAAATCAAATAAATAAATACAAATAAATAAATGACTTGAAGTTCTTGCAGACATTTTCTTTTAATAACTAATTATGTTTTTTTCTTTAATACTCTGGAAGAGAAACTATGCCATGCTAAAAGAACACACTATGGTATGTTGTTTCAATCTTTAGTGTGGTTCTACTTTATTATCTCATAAAGTAACAGAATACAAAAAAGGAGGAAAAAGAACAATTTGGGTTTCTTCCTAACATCAAAAACATATCTGAATACTGATTATAGCGTACAATCTAAATCTAAATCTAAATCTAAGCCTCTCCAGTTCCCAATCAACTGTTTTCTAATTGTCTAACTGTTCTCTTTCTCCCCACATGGGTATTGTTGGGGGCAACTGATAACATGCCATGATATTATAATAAAAATTATGTACATAAATAATTCATATAATATGTATGATGCTGTGACACATGTGATATCCTTATAGCTTATACCAGATGCTGATGTCCAACAATTTTTTTATTTATTAATTAAATTTATGTACAGGTAGTCCTCAACTTTCAACAATTTGTTTAATTCAAAGTTACAATAGCATGAAAAAAAGTGACTCATGACCATTTTTCACACTTATGACCATTGCAGCATCTCCATGGTGATGTGATCAAAATGTAGACACTTGACTCATATTTATGAGGGGCCCAAGGTTGCAAAATGGGGCAAAACTCAACAACTATCTTGCTTAGCAATGAAAATTGCAGTTTTAAGTCGAGGATTATCTGTAGCTACCCATATCAATACCTGACTCTGGGTGGCTATATAAATTTGATTAATAAATAAATGTTAATAAATAAACATTTCAAATCATCTCGCCCATCTCAGGGTTCAACGGTCCCAGAAATTCTATTCCAATCCAAAATTTCCTCAATTCATTATTAGGCAATAAGATATTTTTGTTCATTTCACTGATCTGATTCCTATGCAACAGAGAGGCATAATGTGGTTGGCTTGATTTTGCCTTGACATACATGAACTCCCTCATTCTGGGCTAGTTTTATGTATGAATCCAAGCTACTGTAGTTCTGCAAATCACAACATCAAATGAATCCTGGTGTTGAATGCATCCTTGAGTCATAGTGCAACTCTGACTGCTTAGAGAGGGCAGTCATAGAGAGCTTTACAGCCCTCTCTAAGCAGTTTTACAGAATTAGCATGTTGCCCCTAACAATCTGGGCCCTAATTTTATTGACCTTGGAAGGATGGAAGGATGAGTCAACCTTGAGCCAGTAGGAATCAAACTCCTGGAGTGAGCAGTGAGTTAGACTGCAGTACTGCATTCTAACCACTGCACCACCACTGCTCTTTGCAACTAATGCAATGTAAACAACCTCAGTCACTTTAAGAACTTTGATTTAGGCAGAGGTACCTTTTCTCTTCCTTCTCCAGCAGACTACGATAGGTAGCTATTTCCTGCTCAAGTCTCATCTTGGAATTCAATAATATTTCATGTTGCTGGAGCTGTTTTTCGATGTCCTGCCTCACTTCTTGGAGTTCCTTCTCCAGATCTTCAATCTCTGTTTCTATGTGCTTGAGCTGTGTTTGGTATCGTAGTTCTGTGGCCCGTAGCGAATTCTCCAACCCCCTTTCCTAGTATATGAAGTTTCTGATTAAAATGTCAAGGTGTATTTCCAAACAAACCAAAACAATTTAAAAACAATTAGCAACAACTTATTTTCAGAAAATTCCAAATCTAAAATTGATTTTTTAAAATAAAATTTCTATTAAATATAATGCAATCTATATTTAATTCAGTAAGAAAAGTGTCTTCTCTTCTCAGTCTGCCCCTTTTATACCTTCTCTTCTCTCTGCCCTCCTCCTCCTTTTCTCTTCCAGGTGTACCGGAAACTCCAATTACTATGTCACCACGTGGAGATCCTGGGGATTCTGCCAAGCTCTGCAGCTCCAGCTGATCTCCTCCAGGTCTGTGCGGCTCCACTTTAACTGGTTCCCTCCCCCATTATGATTAGCTAGGGCTCACATACCACCAGCCAGGTGCTAAAGTACCACTGGTGGTACGCGTACCATGGGTTGAAAAGCCCTGCAAGTAGAGCATTCCCGATATAAATCTGGCTTATTAAGTGTTAGGCTATATTGGTGTGCTAGTCTGGAGAATCTTTGGCTTTACTTTTAATATTAGTAGAAGATATTGAAATTGAAAGCATATTGTCAGGGTAAAGAAAGGGCTTCTCAGATATACCATTAATTAATTTCTTAACTTCATTTTTTTAAAAAATAGCCTAGTTCTTGCAATGGATTACCCCTGTTACAAGTATTAGAACAAAACATAATCAATTTTTCAGATAAATTTTCTAAATTATAAAACATCATAAAAGGACATTTTTTAAAAAAATACTTTTTGTCATATTTATTTTTTTCTCACAAGATTTTGCTTTAATGAAGAAAATGTTTTATGAATATTTTATGAAGAAATACTATACTTTGCTCTCACCTGCAATATAAAGTAACAGTCTAATATTTCTGATACTTCTCAATATCAGTTTTCTGAAGAAAAATGTAGCTAAAAACTCTTAAACTAAAATGTCTACATTTTTAATAATTCCCTCCCCCATGAGACCTATTCATGAATTAATTTAAATTCCCTCAGAAAACTTTAATATGGAAGGACATTTTTGTCTCCTTATTTTAAATCCCCAAAGAACAGTACATTGTTCTTCTTGTTAGAAGGGGTAATAAAGATGGTTTAAACCTGTGAGTTAACAGATGAACAAATGTTTTCTTTCTGAAAACAATGTTAGAGTAGCTCTTTGCTCACACTTACCATGGCATGAAGAGAGTCTATTTCGGTTTGCATATGATGCCACTGGTGTCTAGCTTCATTTAGCTCTGCCCTTGCCGCCTTTAAGATTTCCTCATCTTTGTTCATTCTTGCAGTTGTGACTTTTTCTAGCTGCAGGGAATGTTTACAATGCTAGGTCAGCAACATTGTCAGGAACAATGAAAATTAAAACTTTGCTTGTGTGAGTGAAGCCTCAACTTTCTGAAACAAATAATCATTCATTTGTTCCCTTTGTAATGTTGCTTGGCCTTGCAACTGAAGCAAAGCAAATGTTGAATTTCAATCAAAATACAGTGCTTGTCAAAACAGTAATGTAAACATGTTTCTGACCGCTAAACATGATTTTAGTATAATAACTTCTAAAATATGGTTGAACATTGTAAGATTTGTAGTCCAACATATATGAATGCCACAGATTGGGAAAGACTTCTGCAGGATATGGTGCAGTGCTGTGCATGGTATCTAGTGACATATAGATAGCCCTTAAGTTATGACTGCAATAGAGTCTGCCCATCATGGTGTACGTCGTGACAGTTGTAAATCAAATCACCCATGTGACCAACTCAATTTTATGACCTTTTTGGCAGTTTTTATTAAATGAATGCCATAGTTGTTAAGCAAATCAATGGTTTACTATGGGCCTGTCTTGCCATCAGCCAGAAGTAAATTCCAGTTTTTGTCAAAATTGTCATAAAATAAAATCATGTGACCATGAGATGCTGCAAATCATGTGACCATGAGATGCTGCAAAGCCATAAATGCAGTTGCCAAATGCAGTCACCTGACCACTCAGGGATGTCTGTTGTAACTTTGAATGGTTGTTAAGCAATCAGGCATAAATTGAGGACTACTTGTAGTTGGTTTATTTATAATTTCTTTTGCTTGCCTTAAAATGGTTACAGGTTACAAGTATTTTTAAAGAAATACAAAATGGCAGAAGTATTGCCAGCTTGCTGAGTCTGAAATTTCAGTAATCTTACACAGGGTCTCTGTTATGTCCTGAGCCTGCTGAGTCATTCAGCAGGTGCAGGAGGTTGCAGAGAGCCCCGGGCAGACACGTGAATGCCCGGGACCAGACAGGCTGTCTCCTGCCTTGTGCGCATGCACAAGGTGGGAGAAATGCCTTGCATTGATTGGCTGATGCTGTCTCTGCAAAGGGGTATAAGAGCAATTCGCGCCATTTTGTGTTTGGGTCTGTGGTGAATGGAATAAAGACAAGACTGTTTGTTATTCCTGCTCGTCTCAATGCCTTTTACTTGGAAACAGAACAGTCTCCATAATTTAGACAGGAAGAGAGGACTGTTAATTTATAATAGCCTAAGAAGTTTGGAAGCACTTCTTCAGGGATATTATAAAATCACAGTGGAGATCATTGGAATCTTGAGAGATTTGTTTTAATGTGATTTTGTTGTGCCACTGTGGTAGATTGACCGCATCCATAACTTTAAAAGTTCAGGGACACATCTGGAGATTTCTAGAAATTAAGCTGTGGGAGGAGTGGCGGGGGAAAGATAAAAATCCATATGAAATATGAATCCATATGAAACATGAACTTTTTTGAACCATTCCTTTTCCCAAGGATTTGAATAGAAATGAGTCCTTTGTGTTCAACAAGGACAAGGTTGTACTAGTTTTAGGTAGTTTGATTTGTAACTTTCAAAGATTGAGATTCTTGGTTGTTTGAGGAATCCAACATGCTTCTAACATGTGGAGGTGTATAGGACCATGAGATATGCCAGCCATGTTACAGAATGAGGATGGGGAGACTGATTATGAGGGTTTTTTAAATGCTGAATGAAGACATATAGTTTCTGAAATTCAGATTTTTGAATTAAGATTGGGGAGAGAAGCAGATAAAAGTAATTTAATTCCAAGACACAGCCACATTGGGTGATGAAATAGTATTCTTGTCAAAGAATAGATTATTGATGACTGGAAAATGAAACAAAGCAAAAAATTAAATGCTTAGTTGTTTGCAGGGCTTTTTTTTGTCATAGAACACCCAGAACAGAGTTCTTTTTGGGATGGAACCTTGTAGGGTAGGCAAGGCAGGTTGTATGACATGTGTGAGTTCCGGCACCTTTTTTTTTTTTTTTTTTTTTACAAAAAAAGCACTGGTTGTTTGGAAGAGTTCCTCTATGGCATTTAGAAAATACTAGTGGATGCCAAAAAGTTAATGTATTGGCTAGGAAGGACCTAGTATACGCAGAATTTCAGTCTAAATCATATACAAGAACTTGGAATCCAAAACATCTGGAGTGTACCACATTGGAGAAAATTACTGCAGAGCATGTTATGATATATAAAAATAGATACTTTTCAGAACCAGTGTGGTGCTGTGTTATGGCAGGGGTCTCCAAATATTTAGTGCCATTTGGATACATTTGGAATTTCAAAAATGTTGTGGATATTCTCAAAATGGTTGCCATGGTGGTCATGGCCAGGTATAAAACATCTATTTAGTAGAAAGTACGGTAAATGGATAAGATAGCTCCCCATAATCTCCTCTAATTTTTGGATGTTCTCTATTATGCCAAACTATTTTTGTCTTTTCTTCTGGGCAGATGTGTATGATTTTATATAGAATTCTGGGCTACAGCTTTTTACCATTTTTATCTTCTAAGAGACCCTGGGATTATATGTGGGGCCTAGAAGCATTTGACAGTTAAGATTATTCTTGAGGCTGATTCTTTTTTACAGCATAGTACTTCTACTTTCTTTTTTAAATAAATAAAAAACCTTCTAAAATAATGTGGATAATACAGCCTAAAAATAAATAATATATGTCTACTTTCAGCCTTTTTGGCCTGACCCGAAAATGATTCTTTCTCAAGCGCAATGTTTACAGAGTTTTATTTAGCAAGATTTAATAGGATGAATTAGGTAATGCTGCAAGAATGTCAACAAATGAACTGTTTTCAGTTTAAAACCAATGTACTGCATCTCTTCTTGCATCATGATTGAAAATTCTTTGATTCTGTTTCTCCTAAATTTCCTGTAAGCTGGTTATCTCTTCAGTTAAAATGGGAAAATGAGAAATTTGAATCCTATTAGCCTAGGAACCAATTCCTAACTTCTGATGGATGTTGGTGGAATTAAATACAATTTTTCTGATGAGCAGCAAATTAGATCTAAATTATGAAACTAAGATTTCAGCAAGCCAGATTCATATTTGAATTTGAGAAAGAGAATCTAGTATTATAACAGTGGAGCAAGGTAGCTTTAAAGGCAGTTGCTCAATTTTCAAGCTGGGAATAGATTTATAACCTAGGACAGAGAAATATTTTAGATATTTGAAAGGAAAGATATATGTCATGTTTGTAGACTTAAATCTGACTTCAATTCCCTACTAAAACAATGATTCTGAGACAAACTTAACAACAGTCATGAATAGAAGATTGCTTTTCTTGATAAAGTATCTCTATAAAAATACTTCCTTCAAGGTGCATTGTAGTCCAATAGGCAATTTATGTAAATCAGTCCCAGTGATCAGAGGTATATAGTATGCACTGTTGCATGCTGGCACCCAGTTCAACCTATGTGTAAATGACATAACCTCAAATTCTCTCTGGAACATCACCTCTGAAACTGGTAGGGAAGGAAATTCCTATGTCATGTATACAGATTATTCCGTACTGCTGTCAAAAACTAAAAATGTCTTGTAAAGAATGATGTATCAGTTATTCATCTATTATATTCAACAGATTTTACAGTAGTGATAAACTGTAATAAAACAAAGGTTGGGTGATCTAAAGGACATAAGAAATAAAGTTGGTGATAGATGGATACTCCATTTAGCAAGTGGGTAAACTTAATTATATCAGTATTCTTTTCCAAACATTTCTTTGTTAGATTGAACTTGTGTTATACAAGGTGTGGATTTTATATCTTTGCTATCAATTAATTCTTTTACAACAGAGTGTCAGGTTATGTACTTCTGTAGATATGGTTTATAAATTTAAAGTATTACAGGATTATTATATGGCATTAAATTTTCTTTTATGGGAAAGAAATATAACATAACATAACATAATCCCATGTTATAACTAAATTTTTAAGGGATATACTAAGATTGCTTTGTTAAGAATGTTGAAAAAAGATTGGAAATTGGTAGTATCTCTATAGCTTCTTTACCATAGACTTATGTATTGATATTTGCACCTGTTACCTGTAAGTTATCTGACATTTAGCTTTAGCTTGATTAAAAAAGTTAAATCATAAAATTAGGATTGTCTTAACACAATTGAAAATGTATGTTTACATAGAGGCAAAATGGCCAGTTAAGGATGTTATTAATATACGGGAAGAATTAGCTGAAGCAAATACAACTTATTCACTGTTAAAAAGAGTTAAGAAATTATTTTAGAGAAACTCAATATTGAGTTTCTCACAATGGGCAGATAAAGAAAAGCTTTAATTGCATACTTTCAATGATCTTTGAAAGCTGATACAGAAAAAAAACCCACTAGAGTTGAGATTACTATATATCTTTGTGAATCAGAATAGATTTAAAGAGTGGAACACATAATGTTTGAATGTGTTTATTATAAAGAATTTTTTTTCTGACATCCTTCCTTACTCCACATAGGATTGACTATACAATTCTGTTTTTCATTGCCCTTAGGAGCAAATAAAACAAACAAAATATTAAACAAAATCTCTCTCTCCCTTGCAGTCAAAATAAGAACTCTTTTTTCCCATGCCTTCCAGCCAGTCTTGATTCCTGGTGACTGCCTGGACAAGTCCTTCTATTTTCTTGGTAACATTTTTGGAAGTGGCTTGCTACTGCTTTCTTCCTAGGAATGAGGAAGAAGGACCAGTCCAAAATCACCCAGCTGATTTTGTGCCTAAGACAGGAAAACATTTAGCAGCTAAATTTTGAAGATTTTGATGTTTGGAAAATAGTTTTTATTTATTAGATTCTAAAACTCCACTGTGCACATTAAATCAACCTTAATAATTAATAAACTAAAGTGGATTTAAGACGCTTGGGAGAAATATTAGTGTTGGAATATTTAATAATATGTCTTTGTAATAATGTCATATTTTTCCTGAGAATATAATAGATGAAATTCATTAAATTCAGTGGGTAGGTTGGATCAGTCACAATATTCTAGCTTGATATACGGCATAGGATTGTTATGAGGAAAATTTGTAAAGGGTGTGGTAGTAGGAAAGGTGAGCTATAAATGCAACAAATAAAATAATTGGTTTTGGAAAGAAACTCATACCAAATAATCCACAAAAGCTATAGGAGTTATGGTGATTGATGGATTCCCTTCTTGGGATGGGCAATCCTTCTGTTTTCTCAAAGAAGTGAATTGGTTGTTAAGGAGGAGGCCCAGGCACACTACACGATTCTGTTCTATTTCTGAAAATGGCAAATAGAAGAAACTAGATAACTTTTCTGTAGGGAGGAGGGCAATCCATACTTCTTTTTCTGGCTAGAATCAGTATACATTTTACATAAGGGGAGGAATAAATGACCAAAAGAGGGAGGTTGAAGACAAGCAAAAAATCATTACAATAATGCCATAATATAACCCCAGCATGATTTGGAAGATGGCAGATGATGCAGACCAGGAAGCCCAGCAGAATCAAACCTGCTTACTGATCAGCTTGGGAAAACTTTCAGTGAACCATAGGCTAGATTGAGAAGTCAACAAAACATTCCAGAAGAAAAAAGTAGCAGTTCATTTTTGTGCAGTTGTCAAGAAAATTGCATGAATGAGTTCATAAAGTCACCAGGAATTGAACTCAGTTAGAAACATGCCTGGTTAGTGGAGACTGGACTTCAGATGTCACTTCAAGGTGGAGCACACAGAGTAACTGGTAGCTGCAGATCAGACTCCATACATTTCAAAGACATCCCATTATATTTAAGATTGAGCTTCTCCATATATTTATACAGAACTAACAGAAATGGTTATTAAATTGTGTTTAGTACCAGTGACAGAACAATGTCCTTTGGTGCATCTGAAGGCAGAAGGGTACCTTCTTGGTCACCACAATGTAAAAAAGATGTTGAGACTCTAGAAAGAGTACAGAGAAGAGCAACAAAGATGATTAGGGGACTGGAGGTTAAAACATATAAGGAAAAGTCTAGTTTAATGAAGAGAAGGATGAGGGGGGACATGATAGCAGTGTTCCAATATCTCAGGGGCTGCCACAAAGAAGAGGGAGTCAAGCTATTCTCCAAAGCGCCTGAAGGCAGGACGAGAAGCAATGGGTGTAAACTGATCAAGGAGAGAAGCAACTTAGAACTAAGGAGAAACTTCCTGACAGCTAGAACAATTAACCAATGGAACAACCTGCCTCCAGAAGTGGTGAATGCTCCAACACTGGAAGTTTTTAAAAAGAGACTGGACAGCCGTTTGTCTGAAATGGTATAGGGTTACCTGCCTGAGCAGGGAGTTGGACTTGATGACCTCCAAGGTCCCTTCCAACTTTATTATTATTATCATTATTATTATTACCTTAAGGAGTATGCAGGTTTTGTCTACTCATCTCTTCTGAACAGTTGCTACCCAAGAGAGCTACTAGTTCCAGGTTGCCATACATGTGGATGAATTTTCTGCCTCTTGATAGAGCTAGACCTAAACAAAACACTAGCTAGACCTAAATAGAACATTCTGAGAACCCAGTGAATAAGAAAATTCACAAAACCATAGATAGATATGTGTGTGTGTGTGTGTGTGTGTGTGAGAGAGAGAGAGAGAGAGAGAGAGAATTTAAATTATTGAATTAACACAAGGTGAAACATACATTTCCAGAAGTTGCAGACTCTTATCAGGTCTTCTAAAACCAAGTTTTCAAGGAAGGAATGGCATGTGCATAGGGAGTTGAATGAAAAATTTATTTTACTAAGTAAATTATTGCTAAAAATGTGCTCCCTGAATTAAGGATGATTTGACTAACTATAATTAAAACATTTCACTAACAATAACCTTTCAAAGCATTAATAGAATGCAAATATGGAATTAGCATCTGCGCAGTCATAGCTTAAGTTAGGCACCATCAAACTTAGCATCTTTATAAAACAAAACAAAAAATGTCAAGAGTAGTATTTTAATAACTCTAATGCAAGTAAAATAAAAGTTTTACATTTTTCTTTGTAAAAACTTTGAGGGATATAGACAAGGAAAAGTCGGTAGGATAGTTTCATGACTTTGCCACATACATTATAATATGGGAGCATTGAATATGGTCGTAATGGAGAAAAATTATCTCTAGGGAATGTTAGTTGGAAGTGCTAAAGACTTTAAAACTATCTTAATTTGAAAGTGTACCTGTGATGAGTTATGTTGCATCATAATTGCCTTTGTCTTTTGACAAATAATGGTGGAAGTCTGAAAATAATGGTTGAAAAACCTGACCAAACAACATAGGTAACTTCCATTTCTCCTATTCCCAGCAACTTTATTGAACAAGACTCCACTGACACTTTTGTACCTTTGTATTTCTTTGCTCACAAGAATACTGTATGTAAAACTAGTTTTAAAATCACATTTTCAATGATTGCATACAGGCTGTCTGAAGAAGCCAGTGGACATTTTCAATTTGATCTCTAAAAGTTGATATGGAATATGCAGGTATCTCTCATCTGCATCAGTATAAAGCAGCTGTGTATTTTCCTGGGATATCAGGGCAGCTGCAGAGGATAGCTGTGCCACAAAGATGCAGGTTTTTGGGAAACAAAGAGGAAATAAATGTAATTCTATTTAGCATCTTCATTTCAAATTTTCATATAGTCTATACAAGTATTGGGGTTATGTTAATGAATATGAAGGAGGGAGACCCATGGAGCTCTGCTTTCAACTGTTTAGAGCAATCTATTGAAAAACAAACATAACACAACTTTAAAACTGCTGGACCTGCCTGATGGGGAGAATTTTGATCCTGGAAAAATTTCCAGGTCACATTCCCAAGGAAAGATGCAGTTGCTTTAAGATATTTCAGACAAGTGGTGTGTTTGTGTTTCCTTGTCCTTCAGAGCATTTTTTAAAATTTGAATCCAAAGCACAAGAAAAAGTCCTATTACAAATCTAACATAGGTAGTCCTTGACTTAACAAACACAATGGGACCAAAAATTCTGTTACTAAGCAAGGCTTTGGTTAAGTGAGTCATGCCCAATTTTATGACCTTTTTTGCCATGATTGTTAAGTGAATCATGCAGTCATTGAGTGAATGTGGCTTCCCCATTTACTTTGCTTGTCATAAGCCGGCTAGGAAAGTTCCAAATGGCGATCACAAGATTCTGGGAGGCTGCAACTATGGTAAATACATGTTGGTTGCCAAGTGCCTTAATTTCGATTATGTAACTGTGGGCATGCTGCAATGGTCATAAGTGCAAGGATCAATTAAAAGTCACTTCTTTCCAGTGCTATTACAACTTCAAAATGATCTCTAAACAAATGGTTGTAAATACTGGCTTGAAGCAAAGAATGAGACTACATGGACACAATTATGGAATTTTCTTGGCAACATTTTGGAAAGTTTGGAAACATTGCCCTGTTTTCGAATTCCCTGGAGACTTTCCATCCAAATAAAGTAGTCCTGATATTAATTTGCTGAGAATCTTACTAAGCAGCAAGTTACTCTAGGGCAAGTTATCTATGACATAAGATAAAGATGAGCTGTATCATTTCTGAAGGTTTTGGGACTGGATTGACTAGATACTTAAATAAACCATAAAGCAAGCCAGCCATAGATACAAAAAAATATTACTCATTCAGAAACAGCAAACTCAAAAGCACAGTCAGATGCTCAGCCTGCATCCTATTTAATGTTATTCCTGATAGTCAGATCAGCAGTCTGGTGCATTTCATGGCTGTGATTCAGAGGCATTTTTTTTCCTAAGTGAATTTTTAATGCTGTCCTTGTAATTGGATAACCTTTAGCAAACATGAGACTGAAGCCAGACAAGCAAAAGATTGCAGAACAGTATGATCCTGACTTTTCTCTTTTAGAGATGCTATACAGTAAAACACAGGCTCCTCTTGACCTATCTTTAAAATAAATTCTTTACCAATCTTAAATGTTTTTCTTCCTAGAGAAAATTACATCTAAATGATGAATGGAGCAGGGGAGCTGCACAAGGTTTGTTATTCTGTTTTGAGAAATATCTCCATCAAGGTGACCCAGCTTTACTTTGTCATTTTTTTTAAAAAAAACTCAACATATTTTCCCCCAATCTCAGAGTCTAGACGTGTTGTGGGAGGGAGGGAGGGAGGGAGGGAGGGAGGGAGAGAGAGAGAGAGAGAGAGAGAGAGAGAGAGAGAGAGAGAGAGAGACATGGTTGCTCCCCCCCAAAACCCGCTGCATTGAAAATGTAAATACTGTACCTCACAGAGGCTGAGAGAGGAACTGAGTGCACACTGGATTGTCTCCTTATTCAAGTAGGTGCCTGTCTGTATGTGGACATTACCTGGGTCTCTCCTCGGCTGAGGAGCGTTTCATAGTTTGCCCTGATCTCATTGAGGAGCTGGGACAGTTCCATGCTGCTCCCATCCTCCACCTTGGCTAACTGAACCTTATTGATAGGGTGAGAAGACTGCTGCAGAACATTCCCAGCCTGCAATTGGAATAAGAGGGAGAGAGATAGAGGAGGGTGAGCAGAATGGGAAGCTCAGATTTTTTTTTAAAGCAGCAGCGTACCATTCTTTGATTAGCATTAGTTATCATGGCTCTTTTCAAACTTGCTCCTAAAGCTGGCTAAAGCTTTTGTATACAAGCCAAATGAAAGATATTTCAGTATGGTTTTTAAAAATGTGGGACTTAATTGTTGCATAGAAACCTTGCACGCATGCTCATATGCTTCTTTTGGCAAAGAATAGATATTTACTATTATTATGTTACTGTGTATCAGAAATAAGTGTCATAGGTTTCAGTCCCAAGTATCACTTGCAAAGCTTGTGAGAATACCAATGAAACATGAGTTGCTTATTCCTGACATACATATGCCCTCCACAAGTTTTTTTCTAACATGAAAATAAATATTCTGTGACATACTTAACTTTTTCACCAGTTATTCAATCTGTGTTGCAAATGATTTAATTCACTCATCAAATAAAATAATTCAAATGGAATATAAACCCAGATGCTGACCTTTGACATAGTAGTGGGAAATTGGTTCATGGCACTGGATGTTCACTCAAGAAAAAAAAGGTGATACTTTTGTTTAGTGTTAAGTCTTTTTAAGCACATTCAAAAAAGAAAAGGAAGAACCTAGAAAATATTTTTAAAATTCAAAGGATTGATCAAAAAGCAAATAACATTATATAAATCCAGCAGCATGTTGTTCATGCAAGGGGCAAGCCATTATTGAAAACTTGATAAAAGAAAGGCGGATAAAATATGAACACTTATGCCCTTTTAAATTCATATTTAAACATTAAGATCAAAAGGAAGTTTTCTTTTGTTTAAATATTTTAAAACATGGTTTCAAAGGGGGAGGAAGAAAAATAAGAACCTTTATTAGCTGTTGTATTATTTTCTACACTAGAAATACACAGACTAGAACTGGCTAAGAACTGAATAACATTAAATATGGTTTCTCCATATTTCTTTTGTGCCATTATTTTGGAACATAAGCCTGAGGGCAGGGACTGCCTTTCATTTTTCTTTTGGAAAAGTAATCTATAAGCTACCTTTTGGCTTAAGTGCCAGGTAGAAAGAAATAATAAGTAAATCACATGAATCATATAAAGTATAAAATTTGTTTATACAGGATTACAACTTTGTGAATCATTGTGTAATCATCTAAGCTTTCCTATAGCTAAATGACATGGTTTCTTTGGTTCAAAGGGTGCTAAAGAATAATATATACAAGCTTAGACATTCTACAAACTTGTAACATTGAAATGTAATATTATAGCTCTCTAGTTTCCATAAGATAGCTGCATTGATTTGTTTCTATAAAAACTATCAACATTGTTCTAATAGTCTCCCCTACTTGACATCCATAACCCTCTAGTTCTTTTCTAGAAAAAAAAACCCTTAATTATTTTAAGCCGAAGATATAAAATAATTTGCTAATAAGAATATTTCAAATGTTGTAAAATGGTATTTCTGGGTTTGTAGTTTGGTATTGTTTTTTAATCTGTTTATTTTTTTTAATACAGTTGAAATAGCAAAATAATAATTAGCTGGATTTAATTTACACATACACATACACAGAAAAAATAAAAGAAGGCAAAGGGAGAAATTACATTCATATTAATTACTAATAGTCTTATGTCTGTGCCTATTTATACTATGCATTTAGTTAGCTTACATTTAAGTCTGTTGAAGTTTAAAAGAAAAAAATGATGAAACAAAGTACACTGAAGATTAAAAATGAAATAATATACATAGATAAATTTGATTATATCTCTGAGTGATGGAATAATTACTCAAATATGAAAAGGTGCCCAAAAGATTGGGGGCTTCTGTTCTACAGGTTTTCCAACAAAAAGATTTCTCCCTTTGCTAATTAGCATAATCAAAATATTGTAGCTAGCATGCTATTGCATATCACATTTTCTGGGGTGGTTAAGATAAAGAGATGTGATATTTTTACAATAAGTGGACCATAAGACCCTCCAATTTATTAAGTATGTCAAATGTCAATTTCAATTAATAGTCAATGAAAATTTCCAGAGACTAAAACTTGCCATTAAATGACCTGAAACAAAAGACAGACTTTGTGATGTATTTAATGTGAAAAATTAAAATGACCTTCAATAGTCAAAAACTGAAACCTTCTGAATGACACATTAGGGTGAGAGTTTCCCCAAATAATCCTCTAAGAGATATGTTTGCATAGTGAAAATATAATTCAGCTCATCTTTGCTTATTCAATGTAATCAGTATAATCATTCAGAATTTTATTGGTAGAATCTCTTGCACACTATTATTTGTGAAAGTGGCAGAAAAATCATACACAAAGAATATTCACCAGATATTTTATCAAAATGGAGAGATGTAGGATGCTACAGGGGTCAGTCAGGGATCTTCTATTACAATATTTTCATTAATTATTTCAATGAAAATGTGAAAAAAATGCTCATCAAATTTGGAGATGGGATAGCTTATTTGATGGGATAACTTATACCTTAGAACAGGGGTGTCAAACTCGCAATGTCATGTGACGTGTCACGACTTATCGTGACTTTTTTCCCATTGCTGGCAATGGGGTGGACGCTGTTTTGCCATGACGCATCCGGCCCACAGGCCGGCAGTTTGACACCCCTGCCTTAGAAGATATATACAATTCAAAATAAACTTGATAGAATAGAATTTTTCAATCTTTCTACCCTGTAGGATCTCTTGAAATAATTGTTATGTCTCAGATATCTCTGCATAAAAATAATTAAATAAATCTATACCTTGCAGTACATTAGCGTGATCAATAAGCTGGCTTGTGATGTCTAAAAATCCCCACCATTTCATGGTACACAAAGTTCAAAACATAATATTTGTTTATTAGAAGGCAAAATCACAAAACTGTGGCTCACTTATTTTGACCATGTTATGCAGGGAAATTCACTGGAGAAAGCAATTATATTTGGAAGAGTTAGTGGCAAAAGGAAACGAGGCTGTCAAAGAACATGGTGATTGAACACCATCAAATTTGATACCAGCCAGAGCACAGAAAAACTTAAAGAAGTTGTGCAAGATTGGAAGATGTGGAGGGACCTGGCACATAGAATTGCCAAGAGTTGGACATGGCTGGATGAATAACATCATCATCAACAACAATCTCTTGCACAATGCCTATTAATCTCCTTGCAGAATTCTAAAGTTCTGTAAAACACTATTTGATATGGGTTGAAAGTAAAAGAATGAATAACAAGGAAGAGTGCAGAGTTCTTCAACTTACAAGTCAAATGCACAGATATAGAGTAGGGGACACCTGGTTTGATAATGACATGTGTGCAAGAGAGATCTAAATAATAGGTGATTGCAATGGGAGTCAGCAGTGTAGAGTGGCTGCAAAAAAGCAAATGCCATTTTAGGCTGCATAATTTCCAAATCAAGTAAAATAATCTATCCAAGTTACTCTTTTTAGCTCAGACCTGCTTCCCACTGAATTCAGCTCAGAACATCAAACTTAAAAAAATATATGGAGAGAAATTGGAGCAGGTTCAGAAAAAGCTGTCAAAGAATGATCCAGGGATTAGAAATAAATACATGAAATAATGAATTTTAAATTTTTGATGATTCGAAATTCTCTAATGATGATATTTCATTGTCCACCCACTATGATCTTTCTTGCTACTTTCTTTTTTCTGTAGTCATTTATTCCTTAAATGTGTTAAAATAAATAAATAAAAAAGTTTATTTAAAAAAGAAAGAAAGAAATTAAACCCTGTGGAAAAAAGATTCAAGAAGTTGGGCATGTAACTTTAAAAAAAGTCAACCAAAGAAATACGTGGAGGAGATACAGTAACTCTCATATATAAGATGTCTTGTAGAAGACTATCAAGGCCTGTTTCCTCTTATTCCAGAGTACAGGGGATGGACTAATGGTTTTAAGTTGTTGAAAGTTGGATTTTGATTGAGTTTTACAAGAAACCTGTTACTAGCAAGTGTAGTTTGATAGTGGAATTAATTTCCCAGAGAGGGCACAGGCTCTGAATCATTCAGAGACTAGACCAGGGGTGTCAAAACTGCCGGCCCACGGGCCAGATGTGTCATGCTGAAACTGCATACACCCCATTGCCAGCAATGGAAAAAGTCACGATACGTCGCAACACGTCATGTGATGTTGTGAGTTTGACACCTCTGGGCTAAACTGTCATCCACCTGGGGTGCTAGTATACATCAGCTAATGGGCATTACCAAAGTGATGGGTAAATATATAAATAAATTGAATATATAAATAAATAATCATATTTCTTCATTTTAAACCCAAAGTCTTTCAGTATGAAATGGCAAAATACGAGCAAAAATAGCAGCTTTAGCAACTAATTAATAATTGGTTATAGTAATATAAAATATTATAATTATAGTAATATAACAATAGTAATAATTATTAAATGCTCTGGTATGTAAAATGGTCTTATCTAAAGGAGTTATAGTGTAACTATTTATTTCTGATGTTGAGTAGAATATTTACACTATAACTCTTTTATACGTATATTCACGTATGTACATGTGCTCTTCTGAACCTAAAAACATAGAAGTGTGATATGCACATAAGCAGTGGTGGGATTCAGCCGGTTCGTACCACTTCGGTAGAACTGATAGCTAATTTTTTGTTGCCCAGGCCCAGAATGGGCTTCTGGAAGCGGTATCCACACAGAGAACTGGTTGTTCACATATTTGAATCCCACTACTGCACATAAGAGATACTGAATCTTCCATAGAAGAAATTAGCTCAGCTACAATAATCAAGGTGATCAAGTGGAAGAACTTTTGAGCAATGTGATTTGTACTAAGTTGAATAATGGAATATGTTGATATGGTGATTGAGAGGTGTTCCTTTTGTCTCAGGCATTAGACAATTTGTATTTT